GTCATGAGCACGTGGTTTTAGCGATTGAAGAACTAACGGGATATGTAGAAGGAAAGGCATTGCGAAAAAAGAATGTGCAAGCAATAGCTCAATTCATATGGGATGAAGTTATTACAAGGCACAGGTGTTTCACCGTTTTAGGTTCAGACAGGGGCACAGAGTTTAAAAATAATGTATTAATGAAATTAGCAACGAACTAAACATTGATCAGAGGTTTGTCGCTAGTTACCACCCTGAGGCTAATAGTCATTCTGAACGCACAGTACAGAAATTCACAAGGATCATTCGAAAGGTGTGTGCCGAAAAACAAAATAGATGGCACAAATATATAAGAAGTGCAATTTGGGCAATCAACATAATGGTCAATGATTTGGGGTACTCTCCATTCCATTTGGTCTATGGATGTGATGCCATAACGCTAGTTCAGTTGATGTTGGAAAGTTATCAAGTCTATGTCACGAGAAACGAATAAACGACTGACGATTTATTGAAATACCGAACAAAACAAATAAAGGGAATGGTGGAAGATTTGAAATGTGCACAAAGTGAGAAGGATGATATTAGACAATGATGGAAAGAGATACATGATAGAAAGGCGAAGTTAAAGGAGACTTACCAGATAGGAGACTTAGTCTTAGTTTATGATTCCACGCTGGACACATCCCCGCGAAAATTGGATTACCAATGAATAGGACTATACAAAGTATGAAGGGTAGGGAAATATGGGCAGGTATATTTGAGTGAGTTGGATGGTAGCGAACTAAGAGACCCAATAACAAGAAATAGAGTGAAGAAACTGTTTACCTGGGAGAAGAAGGTTCCAAGTCAGAGCGGTTATTCGGATCAGAGTAGTGTGGCCCTTGAGGATGAGGACCAAAGGAGGTCCAGCTCATGTCGCATAGTTCTAGAACAACCCTTGTACCTGATAAGGGGAATGTTGATTGACAACGGCTTGTATAGTATAGTAAAGGGGATGAATGGCACTCAGAAGTATGCTTTGACGGGATCACGTGATCACGTGGGTGAGCAACGTTATAATCGGGGCATCGGTGTTGGTCGACATTGATGGATCAGGTACCACGTGGACTTCGAGTAATGTATGGTTATTGATTATAGTAATTATGACGGAATTAATTTAAAAGTTTATTATAGTAATATGAATAATAGTTTATAGTAGTATAAGTGAATAAGTTAATAAAAGTATGTAGTACAAAATGATGTATTTTATGATTCAATATAAATAGAGGTCGTAAATAAAAGGAAAGGGCGGTTAGTCTTTGGACTAGTACGAATAAGAAACAGTACGTTTAGTGTAAAGTGTTTACTTACCAAGTGACGGTGTGCAAAATGAAAGTGTCAAGCGAGACCCATCAGTTCCTAAAACCCTTTGACTAGATAACAATAGCCATGGCTACTGTTTAACCCCGTGATAATAATCATAGGTTCAACATGTTCTTCAAACAAAAAAATAAATAAAATGATCAAAAAATGAACAAAGAATTTCATTATCACTACATATTTGAATAATATTTAGATGTTCTTTTTTAAAGAGTATGTTGCAAACTGCAAATATAATAAATAATTTCTTAATATAATTAACATTATTAATAGAAAATCCCTTTGGTATTTTATTATTTGAGATACCAAATACATTAACCAGAACTTGTAAAAGTAAAATATAATCAAAACAGATACTAATAATATTAGAATTAATATCATAAGTATTTAGTA